ACGCTACTAGGGGCTCCTGGCCATACTACTAGTAACAAGAAGCTACTCGGGGCTCCTGGCATCGCTACTAGTAACAAGAAGCTACTCGTGGCTCCTGGCCATACTGCTAGTAACAAGAAGCTACTAGGGGCTCCTGGCCATACTCGTAGGAGCAAGGGCGCTACTAGGGGCTCCTGGCCATACTAATAGTAATAAGAAGCTACTAGGGGCTTCTGGCCACACTCCTAGGAGCAAGGACGCTACTGGGGGCTCCTGGCCATACTACTAGTAACAAGAAGCTAGTAGGGGCTCCTGGCCTTACTACTAGGAGCAAGGACGCTACTAGGGGCTCCTGGCCATACTACTAGTAACAAGAAGCTACTAGGGGCTCCTGGGAAACGAAAAGACTTTGTGGCGCTGTCCTTATGCAGCGGTGTGGGTGCCTTGGTCAACCCAGCATGGCTTTTCGCAGCCAGGTGCTCAAGTGCAGCGCAAGGTGGGTTTTTGGCCGGTGTTCGCCAATGGTGCTTTTTTTGAACATGGATGTTGTAGCTGTACCGGCGGTATATTGGCTTTCCTTAGTCATTTCTTTTCCTTCCCTTATTTGCGTGCAACAGAGTTGAGAGCTCACTTGTGTCCTGAAAGCTGATAAGACCTAACGATATGCCATGTGAATTGGTGGCCCGCAGGGGAAGCAAAGTCTTCGCCTTAAGCATTGTGAGACTCAGAGCCCCTAACAGCTTCTTGCTCCTAGTAGTATGGCCAGGAGCCCCTAGTAGCTTCTTGTTACTAGCAGCGATGCCAGGAGCCCCTAGTAGCGTCCTTGCTCCTAGTTGTGAGACTCAGAATTGCTCTTTACTGCTTACCGATTCCAGCGCAGCCCGAGGCGGGATGACACGGGAAAGCGCCGAAAGGGACGGCGGCGAAATTGAGAGTGTAAAGTACATTGATCTAGCGAGATTGAGTTTTAAGGGCTTGGTTCCAATTGGTGTTCTAATTTACACCTAAACACCAATCGGGCCACAACTTTACATAGATGGTCGATGTCAAGGTTGAACATGGTTTCGACCTGACGTCGACACCGAATTTGCTCCCGAATGGGAGCGTTGCATGTGCCATTTTCGTATACTCTTTGTGCTCCTCGTTCTTCTTCCTCTTCTTCTTCGCTTCTGAAAGCAGCTCGTTTGTTGACTTGGTGGATGTGTGGACGAAAACAGTGCAACTCTAGAGCTCAGCCATTGCATTGGTTGAGTGCGGTTCTAGCCGCCAAGCTTTGTGCAGGTCATTAGCGGTATAGCCAATAGAGTGGTCGACGCCTGTTCAGGTTGGTTCAGGCTTTTAACTTCCTCCAGGCAAGCGTTGCAGCACCAGACTCACGAAAAGATACGAAGAGACTGCTCGGCCACTCACCTTTGATCACCTGTGCACTGAAGGTGCTGCAAAAACGAACTGCCAAAGTAAGAAACACCCAAGTGACAGTTGTGATCAGAAGCCCTTCAATTGAACATAGAAACCGAAAAAAGGACAACATCCAAGAGCTGAAGGTTAGAACCGTTGCACGCATGCAGAGTCGGCAACATTTTGTGGCCACCAAGCTGTCACAAGAATACTGCACACTTATCATTGACTTTCCGAGAGAGGTCAAGCCACAAGAAGCCCTGTGTGCTGGTTCATGCGCGCTTCATCAAAGATTCCACTTCAGACACAATTTCCGTAGTTTCATGTCGTTCTTCCAATGTTGCAGACGAGATCCACTTTCTTCAATGAGCTCTCCAAAGGTAAACATGGCTGTTCAGCGCTTCATTGTGCAGACCGTTGATGCGACCACACTGCAAAGGGAAGTTGAACGCCTGCAAGTTGTTATAGTTGGAACCTTGAAGCCATAGGGCTCATATTACGAGAACACGTTATATAACTTGTCATCCAGAATCAACAAGTTTGAAGGACATCCAAGGTGTTGTCTAGCATTCTAGCTTCCAGAAGTTGCATCATATTTAAACTATACGTAATATGTTTGAAAGAAAACTCACAGGGCCAGGCAACCGCAGACGCTGACAACAACAACAACATACTACAACTACTGAAGTCATCCATTGATTCCTTGTATCAGGATGTAGCAAGATGTATCAAGTGACACTTCCTGCACGCCATTTTTCGGCACATGGCATGGAGAGTGAAGCCAAGCGCTTCCGAGCAATGGCTTGGACCTCGGTGACCGTCGATTTGGATAGTTTGATCATGGTTGATCCACATGATTCCTCCGCTTGATGTGCAGCGCTGACATTTTGGCACTCTTGCTAAGGCTTATACCAGGGTTTGGTTCCCAGAAGTACAATCCGCAGCAATAGCAGAGGGAATTTGTTTCCCAGAGTTCCAAAGTGATGGCATTTTTTTGTCCCTCAACAACTTCCCTCCAACCGCAAAGTTCGCTTGAGATCTTCAAGCCCAATCATTTGACCCAGGTTGTTTGACCGGACAGGACCTTCATTGATTAGGCCGACTTACTGTAAAATTCGTAATCTACAAGCATCTCATGCAGCGTCTAAGGTTGTGACGATTCGGACAAAACAAGGTGACACGCAAGCCTGGAATAGGCTCGCCACGTGCTATTGGTGTGGGACACATTGAATATATGCACTGAAAGATGCAGGATTGGAGAGTGCGCGCTTGGTGCAGATGAATCAGGAGGTTCTCAGGTCAGAGAGAGACATCAAGAGAGACACAGAGAGAGACAGGGAGGGAGGGAGCGAGGGAGGGCAGGAGGGAGGGAGGGAGGGAGAGAGAGAGAGAGTGTGTGCAGAAGTTGATCAGTTTGGAACCTGATTGAGACACAGAGTTACGAATACATGGGGAGCGGAAGATTGCTAGGCTTCATCTGTCTTCGTGACCCCATCGCGAACTATACCAAGGCAGGTGAGCAACATTTAGCGCGGAGGATTGAACATGCCCGTTTCGACAGCGATTTGCGCTGTTCAGAAGGGCGGTATAGGGCGGTGACTTCTGAATCGTTATTTTAGGAACCTCTGTGCACGGAGAGCAAAGTAGACTGAGATTTCCTGGCATAATGTTCGTTCTCAAGACTTTGCAAATGGCCAGAGGGATGGTTAATCTGAAGAAGGATTTATCATTGAGTATCGACGTTTATTCAACCTTATTCCCTTTCGGACCAACGACATAGCCGCGTGCTGTGCACTTGATAAGGTCGTGGCTTGGCTTCGGCGGGAGCTTCACAGAGGCGGGCAAAGGGGTCAGCTTGAGAAAGGGAACACGAAGGTGTTTGGGCCGGGCCTTATTAAAGTATTAAAGGGGACCTTAATGATTACGACTGTTTTTTTTGTATTTGGATTGGAGTAAATCAGCTTCTTTGCAGGCAGCTACAGAGACTCTTCGGAAGCTCAGCCCTGCAAAGAGAGATGAGGTCTGGTAGTTTGCTGTTTTTGGTTTTGTTTGGCCTCGATGCTCTGGTACTTTGTGCAGCGAGAGGTCTTGAAGGCGTGCTTTGACAAGGAGGAGCCGGCTTTGGATGTCTGAGGATTTTTCATTCGAAAGGGCAGCTAGACTCTCACTCCTTCCGGTTCCTATGAACTCTACTAGTGCAAGCATGTGTCTTTTTCTCTGAAACAAATACATGCAAGTCTTTGCGCTCGCTGCCAGGCAGGACTAGCCTACAACCTCGGCAGGGTTTCCATCGGTTCCTGTGACTTCGGTCTGGGCCACTGGACCGATGCGACGGTGAAAACACCCTGCCACGTCCGAAAAATAGAGGTGCTCCGTCGTCGCTGGTAGCAAGAAGCTACGAACGTAACCCCTGGCATGACTACTCGAACTACTAGGAACAAGAAGCTGGAATATTGTGCTCCTTGCTCTTCCACTAAACTCATATGCCAGTGTCGTGAAACTTCGATGAGCATGCAGCATGCAGCATTGCCTCATTCTGACAGGACCTGTGGTGACTTAAAAGAGGAAGACCATGATTTGAACGGCTTCACTTTGGAGCACTATGAGGTGACTATAGGGAGGCACAATGGATAGCTGCGACTGCGACCAATGGGCTTTGTGCTGGCAGGCGTCAATACTGCCCACACTGCATGATGCCATCAAAGCCCGGAGCTAGGCTTTTTGATTGGCAGACCCTGCCATCTGCCCATACTTTCTAAATTGTGGGCAAGGAGGTAAGACTAGCATGGACTACCCGTTGTTTTCTTTTGTTGCTGTCTTTCAAAGGTATCTGAAACCGCTGGTTATTGACGTCCTCAGGTGGCAGGGCCCCTCTCTATTTTGGCGAGTCCATGGAGCCCACCACCTTGGATGAAGCCGGGCCACCTGGTGAGCCGGGCCCTACACGGTAGGCGAACGGTTGCGTCGATTCTTGTTGGTTTGTCATGGGCGACTCCAAAGTGAAGCGCAACGCTGGAACCCTATACTTCACCGTGAAGAACATGCAAAGCACTTGTGAGAAGAAGAGCTGTCCGCAAGGGGTGCCTTTGACTCTTTGACTTCTTACATCTCAATTGCAAGTGTTCTTGAGGGGTCAGGGGATCCTAAGGTTCAAGTTGCAGATTGAGTAGCAGGGTAAATTGTGATGTTGTCTGTGCACAGGAAGATGTTTTACCGAGGACAAAGACAGAGTTCAATGGTGATGGTCATCTTCGTCCGGATTGCAAGACTCCCAGAGCTGCCTTTAGCAAGACAAATGGGCACTGTATGTAGCTGCCAAATCAGTTGACACAGACTAGTCTCAGACTTTGTAGTCCGCAGCCAAACTATAGAAGTCTCAGACTCTCAGAGACTCTCAGACACTCTCAGACCTTGGCTGGGCATTTCCGCTTCACCGAGGCTACAAGGTCTGGTCGCATCACTTTGTTCGATTTGTGCAGGCGCACTTGCGGAGCGCATATATGAGATATACATATATATATATACACTATATTTACTTTTTTAGGCAAGGGAGAAACTAGTTCGCTCCTAGCAAACTAGCAAGCTACTTACATATGGACGCAGGATAGCTCACGCTTCTTTAAGGAAGCACCAGGGGGGAGCTTCCTTGAAGAAGGGCTCGCGCTAATGATTTGGTTCCCAGATATTTAGGAAAGCAACCCTGATCAAAGGAAGTTTAGTGTGCAAAACTTCCGTGTTACGGACATTCAACAGCTGTTCAATACACCACTCATCATACACCATTCATCATACACCACTCATCAGACACCACTCATCATACATCACTGATCATACACGACTCATCATACACCACTCATCATACACCGCTCATCATACACCACTCATCATACACCACTCATCATACACCACTCATCATACACCACTTATCATACACCGCTCATCATACGCCACTCATCAACGCACCACCTATCATACACCACTCATCATACATTACTCATCATACACCACTCATCATACACCACTTAGCTTACACCACTTATCATACACCACTCATCATACACCACTTAGCTTACACCACTCATCATACACCACTTATCATGCACCACTCATCATCCAGTTAGCTCTAGTTTCAAGAGGTCTAGCTCCAGTTAGCTCTAGTTTCGAGAGCTCTAGATCGAGGTAGCTCTAGTTTCAACAGCTCCAGCTCCAGTTAGCTCTAGTTTCAATAGCTCTAGCTCCAGTTAGCTCTAGTTTCAATAGCTCTAGCTCCAGGTAGCTCTAGTTTCAATAGCTCTAGCTCCAGTTAGCTCTAGTTTCAATAGCTCTAGCTCCAGTTAGCTCTAGTTTCAACAGCTCTAGCTCCAGTATACGTGGCAGGCGCAGCACTTTTAACCTCCATGTGCAGAGTTCGTGGCAGGTGCAGCACTTTGTGACCTCCATGTGCAGATTTCGTGGCAGGCGCAATACAAAATGCATGTTCGAGAGATAGCGGACGCGAAATGCTGTGTTTTTCAATAGAAAGGGTGGCTCCGAAGCTGGCAAGTCAAGCTTTGCGGAACGACGTGTGCAAGACGGTCTCGGGTCATGGTTGGGTCATGGTTGGATCATGCTCGGAATCGTCCCTCCATTGTGGTTAGAGTTTTCACTTGTTTCTTGAAGTGCAGATTTCGTGGCAAGCGCAGCACTTTGTGAACCTCCATGTGCAGATTTCGTGGCAGGCGCAGCGCTTTGTGAACCTCCATGTGCAGATTTCGTGGCAGGCGCAGCGCTTTGTGAACCTCCATGTGCAGAATTCGTGGCAGGCGCGGCGCTTTGTGAACCTCGAGGTGCAGATTTCGTGGCAGGCACAGCGCAGCGCTTTGTGAACCTCCATGTGTAGAATTCGTGGCAGGCGCAGCACTGCACTTTGTGAACCTCGAGGTGCAGATTTCGTGGCAGGCACAGCGCTTTGTGAACCTCCGAGATTTCGTGGCAGGCGCAGCGCTTTGTGAACCTCCATGTGCAGATTTCGTGGCAGGCGCAGCGCTTTGTGAACCTCCAGTGGCAGGCGCAGCGCGTGTGCAGATTTCGTGGCAGGCACAGCACTTTGTGGCAGGCACAGCATCTGGGGAGCTGGAAGCTGAGAACTGACGATTTTGTAGTATAACTTTAGTACGCGGAGTAATCTGGCGAGGTGGAGGCTGAGAACTGGTGACTTTGTAGTGCAACTGTGGTACGCGGAGGAACCTGCTGGAAGCCCGGAACTGGCGACTTTGTAGTACAACTTTAGTACGCGGAGCAATCTGTGGAGCTGGAAGATGAGAACTGGCGACTTTGTAGTACAACTTTAGTACGCGGAGCAATCTGTGGAGCTGGAAGCTGAGAACTGGCGACTTTGTAGTGCAACTTTAGTGCGCGGAGTAGGCTGGGGAGCTGGAGGCTGGACTTTGTAGTGCAACTTTAGTACGCGGAGCGATCTGTGGAGCTGGAAGCTGAGAAAGCTGAGAACTGGCGACTTTGTAGTACAACTTTAGTACGCGGAGTATCTGGGAAGCTGGAAGCTGAGAACTGGCGACTTTGTAGTGCAACTTTAGTACGCGGAGCAATCTGTGGAGCTGGAAGCTGAGAAAGCTGAGAACTGGCGACTTTGTAGTGCAACTTTAGTACGCGGAGTATCTGGGGAGCTGGAAGCTGAGAACTGGCGACTTTGTGGTACAACTTTAGTACGCGGAGTATCTGGGCTTAGTACGCGGATGAGTTATCTCTCGCGGCTGAGTCATCTCTCGCGGCTGCTCTGGCACCGCTGCAGCTGAGTCATCTCCCCCGGCCACCCGGCTCTCTTGAGAGGTTGACAAATTTTTGCTAACTTGCTTACTTAAAAGTGCTCACTTCGAGTACTGTCCGTTAAGACAAACTATCACATCTAGCGCCAGCTAGCTTTCGTGGAGCTAGAGCTAGAGCTATGCTTCACCCATCACTCATCACTCATCACTCATCATCATCACCATCATCATCATCATCACTTGCTCTAGTTTCAATAGCTCAAGCTCCAGCTAGCTCTAGTTTCAATAGCTCTAGCTCCAGTTAGCTCTAGCAGCTCTGACTGACGGACACGAGGGACACGCATGGTGGAAAGAACCGGGGCACTCCTATAGGTCAGTTTGTTCTTATAGGAAACTTCCGCCGCCGGCTTGCCCGGGAACTGCTTGTATGTTTTCTTTCATTCAGGAGATGGAAAAGAAGGGTGTCCCAATCTGGGCCGTCTCTGTGCGATCCTGAAACTTCTTCTGAGCCGTTCGCAGTCAAGACTGGACATCCAAGGTTCAAAATGAGCCAGAGGCAAGGTTCAAAACGAACTCAGTTGTCAATTTTGAAGCATCAGCTTGGCATGGAAGCGATCTCCCAGGCAGCACAAATCTGGGAATCCTGCATCTACACAGCAGAGGATGATTCCCGAATAATTAAACCACTGAACAGCTGTAATATTTTAAAGATGCAGGAGGAGCGAGATTTTGTACGAGACCATTTGGGGCCTGCCTTAGAGGCTTGTGCGAGTTGCATGACTGGAGAACAGGAGCAACTGAGCAATGCCGTGAGGCAGCGGATTTGAGCAAAGTCAAGATCATCATTTGGGATCACAACCGTGCCTCGGCAGCCTTGGCCAAGTTCCGAATCGTGAACCATAGTCAGTGAACGCATTTACCTAGGAGATGGTATGTGCCGAGCTCAGCAACCCGACAAACGGATAGCGACAGCGCAACGCAGTGATGCATTTTGCTAGGACTTTTGTTTTGAGGCTGGAGCGCGCTGCTGTGGCATACGCGGACGAGAGTGCTGCAAAGAGCCGATCCAAGCTGATCATTTCACGATAAAACAGCTCGACCGGTTTGCAGCAAACAATGAACATGCTCTGGCTGCTGGCTTTGGGCTGAGGTTCATTTGGGGGCTTGGCTATCACTGGTGCTCCAATACATCACAGTCCATGAGCTGCTACATGCTGCATTGTCTTCAGGTATGGAGACAGCCGCTTCGAAACATGGCCTGAAAGCTACGAGATTGAGTTTGAGGCCCGAAACAATTGTTTAAGTCGTTTCACACTCCAAGTTTAGATGCAAGGAAAGATAAGGAAACAAAGAAACTGGAAGGGTTGTTGCACAGGACCGCCAGCATGAAGAGGAAGCCGTTCACGAATTGCGAGCAAGGCACTAGGGCTCACTAGGGCTCACTTTTTGTGCCTCGTCCGTTTGGTCTCTGGTCCGAGATCCAACCCGGACTTTGACAGGCTTGGGTTTGACAACGTGCGCCGCGTCGCGGAGTTGGGGCCTATGTTGCGCGGAATAGAACGGGATGTTTCCTATTTCCATGAGCTAGTGCAAGTGGCAAGGGTCTAACCCCCTTTTTTTTTCTGCGATGCTCTGCATGATGGTGAATGTGTTCACATGAATTTGTACATCCGCAGTCATGAACTGACCTCTTCCCCTAGCTTCAAAGGACATATAGAAGACGTTTTGTGTCGTTGATCCATCGCAGTTTTTTTAGTTTAAAAAAGCGCCGGCTCGACAACAAACTGCAGGCTTCGACCTGACAAGCACATTCTCTTCACAGAAGGCTGCCAGGCATCCGGGCGTGCTGGGCATGTACGGGGCGTTCAGCTCGTTGGATCAGCTCAATGCCTGCTTGCACTGTGAAGTTTTCATGGGGGAGAACTCAACAAGTCTCAACACTATTGGGTCAAAGGATCGATTCACCTGCATTCTTGACACCCTGAGTCATCGGCTGAAGCCAAACAATTTTTACGCGAGCCGTGAGACTTTGCATTTCTGGAATCCCTTTTGGGGTTTTGTTCTACCAAGCTACACATCGGAAGTTCTGCTTGTAGGAGCTCTCTGGACGCAGCTTGGAGCAGATGCTCGGTGTCGTGGACCAAGACCGACACCGGGTGTAGGGAAAGGTAGGTCAGATTTGAGTCGAGGTGTGGAAACTGGGCGAAAGGCAGCGGGAAGTAGTCACTGTTCTTGTGCTTCTTGTGCTTCTTGCAGTTTGAGATTGAGATTTGCAGGTATGGCATGAACATCATTTCTGACATGAACAATGGTAAAGGCCTCGTTCGATCTCATTTGCACAGCAATGCCTTTCTCTTGCTTCACGCACTTGATCTGGAGAGCTTAGGTGTTGAAGGATGGATTGATTGGAACCTATGCCTTGATGAGAGAGGTGCTTGAAGCTCCACTTTGTTCGGTTGGCTTTATCAAAAAAGCTGCCACGTCTTAGTTTCATGACACGAGGCTTTCAGCTCCTTCTTGGTTTCATGAATGGTAATAGTAATTGCCCACTTAAACATCGGTAGATGCCATTCAAAGATATTCAAAGTCTATTCCTTGGAGGCGGCCCAAATCACGTGGGCAATTTTTGCTTAGACCTGAGCTGTAAGTAAGGGAACTCTGGTGAATCTGGTGCTGGATGCAAAAGCATTTGATGTTCTGGTGGCTTTCTCTAGGTTTGCCAAGGCTTGAACGACCAAACATACGCTTGTAAGATTCAAAGGACCTCGAGTTCTGCAAAACAAGGTTCTGCACCGATCATTTGCGACACTCGTAGTGATGAGATCTTGAGACAGCCGTCTTTCTGGTGCGCCGGGCGTTGCTTCAACTTGCACGGACAGTCTCATTATTTCCCAAGGGACATTTGTTGAAGGAGCAAGAAGCTACTAGGAGCAAGTGCATCGCTACTTGTAACAAGTGCATTTCTATTAGTAGCAAGAAGCTACTAGGAGCAATTGAAAGACGAGGTACTTGGGACATTTCTCCCGCTACATTAAGCCCGGAGCATGTAGAGCGATCAGCAGCACGAGCCGGGATGTTTTGGAGGCCCAAGAGTGCTTTAGAGCATTTTACAATCTCTGCGCATTTGCAGCCTGAATGGTTTTTGTCTCAAGCAGTGTGCTGGAGTGAGGTGACTTCTTGGGTGAATGTCGATGGAAGTTCTGAACCCAGCTATATTCAACTACGCCTATACTGTACTCTTCCGATGATGAATCATCAGAGAGGTTTGGAGTTTCAGCACTAATGTGAACATATTTTTTGCTGCAGGCTTAGTGGTTGTGGTCATGAACCAGAGCGATGATGATATTGACTTTTGGCTGAAGGCCAACTCATGAGTCCAGCTTGAAAGGGTCCTCATCAAAGGGGTCCTTACCTTCTTCCTTCATATTGTACCATTTTTACGTTTTGTTTACTTTATATAATGTTTGAAACCAGATTCATTGCCGTCTTGTCATTTTGTGTAGGTCCTTGGGTCAGGAGCTGCGCATGTGGAGGCCAACAAATGCCAACAATAGGATTCTGTTGTTTCTCTGGGGCTTAGACAGATCTGCCATCACATTTGCCCGCTTTCTTTTGGGGTGGGACAACTGTTCGGAGTGATTTCTTTGCAGAGTCTCAAAGCAAGAATAAATGAATGCATTTGACTGTCACCTCAATCCTTTGTGAGGCACCGGCACGGTCTATCTCTACATTTATTGTTGCATAGGAGTCCTTGGGTGACGCTTTAGCGAAGCTCAGCGTCCCGCGTTCCGATAATGGTCGGCTGAGAAGGTCCATTTATTGATTCTGGTTTTGAGCTCCCGCACGAGAAAAGATTGCGGAGAAGTTTGGCAGTTTGCATCGAGTAATCACATCAATTCAAGCCTCACGGAATCCCTATACATTCCATGCACTCCGCTCCCCATTTGAGCTTCAAAAACTTGAATTTAGAGCAATCGAAGGCTGCAGAGGTGTTGAGGCCCGGGCAATCTTTTCTGCAAATGTCACAAACAGCACAGAGCCGAGCTTTTGTAACATTTCTCTTGCAAGGTGCCCCTTCGACATTGGTTGAGGGTCAGCAGGCGACTTCCGGAAAAAGCTGTGCAGGTTTCATGGCTGTGTGTTGAAGCTGAGAGCTGATTCCTGGCAATATATGGAGTCTAGTTTGTATTCGATGGTTGAAGTGCTGAGCCATGATCCCAACTGCTACCGAGTCTCTTCTGTGCTTGGGGCTGTGATCCTGTGGACACTTTTTCACTTAAGAGCTTCGCTTCAAAGTGCATCATTGATCATAGTGCCTTGCTGCATGCATCGTCCTCTTTTTGCCCGTGCTTTCGCGACATGCGGGTTGCTCTTGTCGTTTTGCTTCCAGCGAGTCACTTACATATACTTACATGCTTCTTTAAGCTGCTGTTCTGCTAGATGGTTTGTGTCTTGGCTGATGCGGCTTTTCATCCTGTTGGACTTGCCTAGTTCAACTCGCCAACAAAGTTTCAACAACGTTTAACCGTTTAACTGTTAAATATTTTGAATGGCTTGCCTTTATTGACTCTATTGTATTCTCTATTGTTTCTTATTTGGTTTTGGTGATATAGATATGAGATGATATGAGAACTATTGAGAACCGATAAATGGCTTGCTTTTGAACGACTTAATGCTGGATCGACCTGACAGGCCGTTGTGATGGACGAGGAGTACGATGTCGTGGTGTGTGGTACCGGCGCGGACCTCGTTTGAATGCTTGCTTTCGGTGACTTGCCGATTCTGGCAACAGCTGGCAGCAGGATGTGCGTGGGCAATTTTAGGCTGTAGATTCTCACTAGCAGCAGCACATAGAACGCACAGCACGGCAAGAAAAGACTGACCGACACGGAAGCAAAGCCGGCAGGAGCAATGTCATGTCTCACCAGACTCCATGCACTTCAAAATGGACTCAAGACATCCGTTTCCAATGGCCCCACCGAGAGTGAAATCGCATGGACTCGTATGTCATGCCGAGCAAAAGCTGTCGCGGGAGTTACCCAAGTTCTGCTGGCACTGGCGGCTGCCGAAACTCTGCGTGGTGGATTTGTCGTCCACAAGAATGCCAAGCACCGCCATCATCGAGCTTTGGTTGGTAAAGGAACATGCCAACTGCATCCAACAGCAACACATGTTAAAAATGAGAACATCAAATAAGGTCGATTGCATAGAAACTAGATACATTTCTGAGAACATTGTACTGTTTCCCTGTTCGACTGGTTGAATAGTCTTTTGTATTGAATTGCTCTCATCCCGAATGCTTCTTTGGAGCTTTGGACATCCTAGGATTCTTGAAGCAACTGCACGCAGAGGGCTTGCATTTGCAAGACTTTCCGACTGAGAAAGTTGCTTGGGAGCGTCTAGGCAGGGCTGAACGACAAGAATAAGATTGTTCCTGCAGTAGTTGCGGTGCCTGTTTGTACCCAACAGCTTGATGCAGCTTTTGTGCTGTCAGATCGGCAGCTTGACATTCTACAGTGGCTTGTCCAAAGGCTTGCAGCACATTTTGTGCAAATGTAACGTATTTTGTATGTATGCTGCATGCTTGTCAATCAATCCTCTGAGGCGATGCAGGGCAGTTGGAGCAACCTTCTGCCTGGTGATGGAGGACTTTGTTCGATGGCAAGCTGGAGACCTGATCGACAGCTTGCAGGCCCAAGCGTTTCGATCAAGACAAGGCCCATGACATCAGGCCGTTTGGCTGTATTTGCTTCATAAGAAGAAGAGGAACAAGCCAAGCGGCCAAGCGGATCGCAATTTCAAGTAACAGCGGTTTAAAGTGCCGCTCTTTGTTCCGGTTGTGATCGAAAAGGCGGTGGTGCAGCTGCAAGAATTTGACGTGGTGGTTCTGGGCCGCTGCTTGGCTCCATCATCCATTCATTGCGGCAATGACGGGCAACTCAGTCAGTTTTTTGCTCATCCAGGAAATGAACGCGAGATTCGCTGCGATGACATCGATGCCGGATTCAATTTAGCGGCTACCTATAGACATGCTTGAAGTACCTGTGCTTGCTTTTTCCCCCCAGAAGCTTTGACATCAAATCCCAGGAGGCGACCTTTGAGCATTTGAGTCGTCTCAAGTGTACTCCCCTTTGGAACTACGCCCTTGTGATTCATGAGAGGCTCGAGAATCGAATGCCTTCGCAATTGCAACCAGTGCCGTTTTGGCTCTTGGCGAGGTATTACACCAGCATGCTGTCTTTGTTGCAAGAAGGCACCAGCGACCTTTGTGGCCTCTTCGCCTTGAACATCGGATGTTTCGAGGGATTGCCAATGTGTTTTCCTCACCTGAGTCATTGCTGGTCTAAAGAACGACAGCCAGCAATGACTTTGACTTGAGCACAACCTGTGCAGTTGGGACATTCGTTTCTCTCAATCCCATGGCCATTTTATTGCCAGCCCCACGCAGAACAGAGGAATCATGCAAACTGAGGCTTTCAAACAGACTTGTACTTTGCGGTTGAAAGACTTTATCGAATACCAAGCTCAGCGATTTGGTACGTTGCATCTCCTCTTCCCGTTCAGGTGTCGGAGGCCCAGAGAAAAGTCGAGTTCATAGTCTTGCGAACCCAACCCTGCAGTCACATGTACCGATCCAGCTGTGGATGTTTCTCTTGAATCATTCAGGCTGTCTCAACCCGGAACAAAGGGCCACTTTGCTGCCCGCTGTGCCTTCGCAATGCAGTCCAGACGTCCTATCATCATGCTCCATCCGATGAGGAGATGGACTGTGTAGAGGTTTTTCAGGGTGAAACGGCTAAGTTTAAAAGGTTGGCCACAGTTCTTTACTGGCTAAGTTTTTGAATAGATGGATACATGGTGGTATGCAACACAAATAAGTCCAATTGCCAGTAACAGAGAAACGCCCAAAAGCCCAAAAGCATCAGGACTGGTGGCACCAGTGTATGTGATGTGGCAGCGAAGTGGTACTTGCTGGGAGGACGTGGTGGCTCCTCTTCATCAGTTTCTTGGACAAATCGCTTAGGTATGTGTTTCCTCAAAAAGTGAGCGTCGGGTCGATTTCAGGCGCAGAATTGCCGAGCTGAATCCTCCAGTTGGTATGAATTTCCAGGCGTTGGCATTGGCATGACGAATTGTCACAAGAGCTTTGCGAATGCATGCGAATGCAGGTTTGCCTGAGCAGAATGTCCCCTTGCGAGCAGATCAGGCCTGCAAAGTGAGGCCAGCTGCGTGCATACCTCGCATACTGCCTCGTTTCTTAGCAGGTCAATGCAGCTTTTGCTGGAGGAGCTGGCATCTCGACTCATAGAGCGTTCGATGAGTCCTGAGACCTTTGTCTTTGTTACGTTGAGTCCACTGAAGAGGTTTCATCGCGCTGGAACCGAGCTATACTGATTGGTATGATGGCTTTGAGCCACGCAACATATCACCAGCGATTCAGAGGCTCTGAACGCTTGCGTCCTTTGTCAATCTTTTGGTGAACGTTGAAACATGCTATAGGTGAAGGTAGTATCGTGTCACCTGCTAGTCAAGCTGTTAAGATTTGTTAAGCTGGTATTGACTATCGTGGCTGGTGATTGAGAGTTCCAGTCTGTCTGGCTTTATGGAGGTGGTACGGTGCAATGGCAAGAGACCTGGACCTTGCCAAAGGATTCTGGCACTCCTACCTAACCATACTGCTGGTGCAGCTCAGCTTGGCAGTTTCATGCGAGTTGCCCTTAATCAGGTCAGGCTTGTTGCTTTTTAAGGCGCGATCCCATTGAGCGCTATCTGTCATGGCTTCGGTGGTGTTGCTCAGATCAGCAAGAAAGTGAAGCTGAACAGGAGACCACAGATGTCAAGTCATTTATGAACAGAAACGGGGCTGACCTCACCTATATACTTTAGTTGCATACACTTGGGACTTGACATTCATGAAACGTTCTGAGCAAATGAGTACAACAAGAACACTTTGCTGGCAAGCAGCTGCTAGACCAGCAAGTTGTACACTGGGCTTCCACACAGGGAGCTGAATTCAGTCCGGTAGATCAAATGTGCCTTGCAGGCATGTACGGCAAACAAGTCAGTGAAGATGTATGGATCCACTAAAACAACCAAGTAAGCAATTGTAAGTGTAAGTCAACAAAGTCCTGGCTCCCGCAACTGGTTTGCAGCTTTTGCAGTTTCAAAATTATCCCAGGAATTCCATGAGCAACCACTATTGTTAATTCTTTACTAAAGTAGTCTACGGCATGCTCTATTTGTTCGTCCAACATGTTGGTCCAACATCAGTATTTGCTGGTGAACGAGATTGGGACCCCACATAAACGAGACACTTTTCTTGATGACACTGATTTCATGTGATCTTCTACTAAAGTACAGATACTGTGACATGACCTCCTACTGTGACATGACCTCCTACTCAAGCAGTCTGAGTCTAAACGAGATAGGGCCCCCCTAAATAGGTAGTGTATGGTCGGTAGTGTAATTGAGTTTAGCAATGAATAAATGTTGCGGCTGACATGTACGACGACGTGTCCTCTCTCTTTTTGTATTGGACCGGCTTGTGACACAAGAGTTTGCAGCACACTTTCGTTTGGCATGTTTGTGAATGTGTGTGTGAAGTGCGGGCTTGACGAGAGTTACATGCAAGACAGGATATGAGCGGAGCGAGAGACCTGAATTGGACAACGATTTTTCACTGACTTTTGAGGTTTGCCTGACTGCGGCTGGTTGAGATCCAAGAGGGAGGGCGACGCTGATGTGATGCCGGAGGGACATTCGCGACGCTGCTTTGAAGAGCCTGGGGTTTGCAATTCATTCTCAGCAGATTATGAAGACAAACTCGTTTGAGAGAGGGGCACATTCATGTTGGAGACGCAGCAGACCCTTTGAGAACCCCAAGCCTGAAATGTTGGAGGAATGGAACACATCACAGTGGCAAAACATCAGAGCCCCGCGCATGATTAGAGCTCTGCCTCTAGCATCCTCAGATTGAAGAATGAGGCTACTAGTACGTAGCTTTTTGTTACTAGGCAAGATGTATGTAATGGCTATGTAGCAGGTAGCATTTCCGAGCACCAGATCTGAAAGGCTCAGACGTGCTGGATGACCCCTCATGTGGGCACGGACAGCGATCGTTCAGTCTTTGCGGTGCTTGCGGCTCCGTAAGGACTGGGCATCCAAGTTCATAGAACTTCTACTTCGGCCGCGGCTCAGTACATCTGGAATCAGTCTCTTGGCCCACAGGAAATTGCTTCCAAGCCAGAGCTTGCAGCCAGCATTCACCAGTGAAGGAAGGTTGCAGTGCAAGTCATGATTGCAGATTTTCAAGGTGCTTGGTCGCCTTTGCGATTTGAACACATCAAAAGAAGCCATGTCCCTGGCTGTCGTGGGTACAACAAAGGCGGGCTGTTCCACACTTTGCTGTCTCAGCGCAGTGGCTAGCAATTTCCATCCATTTCCCATCACATCGCGCAGGATATCACATCGCGCAGGCGAGCAATTGCTTGACTCGACACCTGTTGAAGCTTGGTTGCTTTAGCAACCGCGCTTCGCGTTTCGCGCTTCCCATTTGGGGGGCATCTTTACCACCCATCTCGAGGCACCGATACCTGCATCAGCATTTTGCACCTCACAAACATAGGCAGCAGCACCCCGAATCAAGGACCAAAGAGGATGCATCACGAACCTGACCGAAACACTGTGACAAACATGACAGAACAACAACATGACCACGTTGGGACATCCAAGAAGGCTGGTGATGCATTACCTGGTGAAACATAGCTAGGACACCAACGCAAGCCCGGACACATAAACTCGGCACATTGACGCACCCTTGGCCAATTCTCTCACAAGCTTCGATTGAGTTGTATGCCTGAGAGAGAAGCACTCACACAGCTAAATTGAGAGATAGCTGAAGACTTGCATAGGCATAGACTATTCAGTTCATTCTGCTGTCGAGAAGAGAAACCAAGGCCGAGAGAAAGGCACCTGAAACGTTCGCTCAATGATTCAGATCTCGAGATGGCCTTGTCTATGTTGCAACGATTCGATGTTGCATCTTGGCATCACTGGGAGCTCGAGGCTGCTTTTCCGGTCTTAAGAGCTAGTCTAGACATGTGGATACACATGGCAGAAAGCTTCAAGAAGCAATTGTTTGTTGGTCCCAAGCAAAGCGGCGCCCAAGATCGCCAACGTCATTTAGATGTGAAATGCTCGACACTTTGCACATGATAGTGGAGCCGGGGCAAACGTGCAGACCGTAAGCCGGAAGCCCTAGATCCAGCACAATCTATTTGGATATCTTTGATACACTTTGTAGGTCTTTGTAGACGATTGCCTTTGCAAAAATGCAAGATCTCCAGCCTTGGTCTCGTTCCTCAGGTGCTTGATTTGTCTCTTGCACCAAATGAAAGCAGTTTACTTCTCCAAGATGCTTTCCGCAGGAGAGAGACATCTCATTTGGTTTTTCATGAAAGCAGTGCGCAGTGCGGAAGAGAGACATCTCGACTGTGCAGGAACGTTGAGTGTGGGGACAGGTGTGCCCAGTTGGATTCTTTGCCTGACATGGAGATACCACCCAGCAACCCACATCACGCAGGCAACATTTGGTGAGGTCACTGAGGTCCTTGACATTTGCCGACGGCCCACAGCCTGTCCAGGCAGTTCTGGAGACCATCCGAAGAGCTTTGCACCACTTTCCACTGTGGCCAGAGATTTGCCCCTTCCACAGCTTTTGTGATTGGTGCTGGATGGGCTGGATGATACTACCTGCACAACGGATGTAGTTCATGTAGTTCCCACTTCTTCTGACCCAGGCTTGAGCAGCACAATCTCCTCGACAGGCCTTCTGAATTCATTCGTGTTTGTCAGGGTGTTGGTGGCTCGATTCTTTCATTCATTTTTGCACAAGGAAAGTGGTTGCAGCAGCTCATGATCTGATGCGTCGAAGGTTTGCAGACTTGCGGGAAAAAGTCCTGCATCAAATGCCTGAGCATGTTTAGTTTTTACATTTGACAAGACAAAGTCAACAACTCTCCTCTACGGGCTTCACCGTGAGTAGCTTTCTGGACTTCATTTGCGACAAACTTTGGCGCTTGTTGCTGAGGCCTCAAGGAGTGCATCTTGAGCGGCCTCCTCTCAGTTCATGGCAAGAAGGCATTGCAGCATGGCACATCGCCTGTGGGCTGTGTTCGTTTGGTCTTATCACGTCTGAAGGTTCTGCATTTGGATCGAAATCCCTACTACGGCCTGGTCCCAAGAACCGACCTGGGAGGCTTCAGATTTCTTGCTGTGAAAGCACCAGCACCATCCGCTCTAAGGTGGAGAGTGTGCATCTCTGAATATCACCAACCTTTGGCAGAAATTTGTGCCTGGCTCCGAACCTCCAAAAGAGCTAGGAGCTGAGGTGGTCGACTGGGTCTCCAAAAGGGATTCTGCGTGCGGTCCTGTGCAACGGTCTGCCGTGCGGTCCATTGCTGCAGTGACAGACCGCAGACCATGTCACTGCGAACGTGGTTCGTTTTGAGGCTGGGGCAGAACAGAGAGTGGAACGTCGTGGCCTTGGCGGCTCCCAACGGTCCTGAAGTACAGTGAGACTTAGTCAGAGTGATTCAGGTGGATCTCATTCCAAAGTTCATTATGGCCTCTGGTGATCTAGCCAAACGCTTAGAATATGTTGGAACATCGCGCAACACAGGCACTAATTGACCATTGCAATGAGACAGGCAAACGCTCCGCAAGTGTTTGGGCACCTGCCAGGTGAAAATTCTCTTGAAGACCAGAGTTTCCCGATATTTGGAGTCCCATTCTCAGCATCAAGCGGCGGACTCTTGGTGCGATGATCTGGTCCGAGCTTCTTTTGTGGACTCAGTCGTAACTTCCTTCCTTGCACTTGACATGTTCTTTTCCTTTTCAATTTGGATCTACTGTATCCTTTTCGGGCCTGAGGTGGAAGTCTTGTGAAGGAACTTATGTGTATCAGTTTAGACCTGAGATCGCTCCCACCTGCACTCATTCTAAGACGCAATCATGCGGTGTATGGACGAAATGTGCATCGCTTCTCGCTTCTAACAACTTTCACCGCGCAGGTTCCAGGAGGCCGGCCTGTTCTCGGGGGGCAAAATACATCCACAAGGCTCGTCTGAGTGCGCTTTGGAGATCTCTTGAGTTTGGAAACCAGCGTGGCCGCCATTTTTGTGTTCAGTTGCAACTCGTTTGCTGTTTCCAGATGCTTCTAAGATATGTTCGTCATTTTGTATTCTTCCTGGTCTCCAGGTGCCAGCCTCTGCCGCTGATGGTCTCAAGTCCCCTTTGATGGGCATGCTAGAGAAGTACGGGGCCCTACTAGGGATCTTGTAGGGCCCAACGGGTCCTAGAGCTGATGGCAGCCTCGGCGGCTTCGACACAACTTCGCACTGTGAAGGCCTCGATTCATCAACTTTGCTCAGTTCATCATGGGCTGGGAGGACGTCTGAGCCGTCGATCTCCGAGTCGTCTGAGAGTCTTCATGAGTCTCCTCAGGATGACAAGCCTGCCACACACCAAGACATTGACCCCAGGCCACTGAGTGTTTGGTGTTCAATGTAAACTGCAACAGCAAATCCAAGACTATTTCTCAAAGCACTTACAGAAGCGGAACATTTGGAGATCCATGATTGGGGGCTCTTTGCTTTTGCGAGGCGCCACACCATGGCGCAGGTGTACCAGAAGCCCAGAGCTTGGAGCAAACTCAAAATGATCTGCCTACAAATATCTGTTGAGCCGACCCCTTACTACCATTCTATCGAGTTTTTTAATGATACGGCGACCACCGAGATCTACACTTATATAGATCCATGCTTGCAAGAGCTCTATCAGTTTGGAAACTCACTCTGTAGTTAGTTACTGCAATACCACTTTAGTGCACTAGACAGCGGTAAGCTTTACTAAGAATCACATCCAAAGGTGAAACGACGAGGTTTAAAGGTGAGTGTGGAATAACATCAGGTACATGAACCACCATAAAACAAACCAGGGGACCACAGCAACCAATCAACAGTTTAACAAGGAAGGATGATTGAAAAATTGTGCAGGTACACGGAAGTGATCAGCTCCAGCTTCCTAGGCCTGTTGCAAAGAGCTTCGTTGGGCAGAGCTTTGCAAGTCCTCTCTGCCCCCCCTGCTAATCTATACAAATGTTTGAGTGTGACACCCCTCCTTGGAAACAGGAGTTGACACACGCACACATGCGCGATGATGCCATGATTTGCATTCATCCTGCAGAAGCAGGGCACATCGCCCCGACACGACAAAAGAGGAGTCGCAGTGAAAGAAACAACTGCTGCCAAGACTGCCATGATTTATGTATTAATATGTCTTCGCCACTGTGTGGAGTGTGGACCTACCTCTCATCCTTTTCTTGCTACCACAGCTACCACTCTAGCAGATCTCGTACTGTCTTGGTTCTGCGCCGTTGCACCGTCCTCGAGACCTGCCGCTCAAAGCCCTTGCAAGCAGGAAGGACATTGGTGTTTTGCCGGGACCCTTTGTTCTACTGTTGATTGCAATGTTGTTGGCACTCCGCTTGCTGTTACTCAAATGACTTGACTAGCAAGTGCCCGTATGTTCAACAGTTAAACTAGTGATAACTAATTCAACAAGGAGAACATGGAAAGAACAAACAAGTTAAGTTCCTCCAAAATTATGAGCCAAATCAATCATACAAGGGGTGCTTCAAGGCAGACCTTGAAAACACCTATGCAGAAAGTGCCTCCAAACCTAGGAACTATACACTTAAACTACTAGTCTTACCCCTGACATCCTCTGACTAGCTATTTTAGCGTACCCGTTTCCAACTTTTTCTGAACAATATTGGAACCACATTTATAGCGTGTGGTATCCCGCGTGGAGCGTCCAGTACCTAATTAGCTAAGCTCTTCCTTTAGCAGCTGCCCCCCCCGGCAAAATAACACGAAGAAAAACTGTTCCATACTGTTTCATTGATTTTGCATTAGGTTTGGTCTCCAAGAGTCAACCATCGACTTCATTGGCCATGCTGTGGCCCTGCAGCGAACTGAGAAGAAGTGGTTCCCGTGTGTTTGGGGTAGCATGGTCCATCAACGGTGCCACCGATGTGTCGCCGCCACCTCAGGTGGCCAAATGACAATTACCTGAACGGACCCTGTGGTCCAACTATTCAGAAGTGCAGGCCGAAGCGAGAGACTTCCTTCTTTTGGTTGCAAGCGTGCGAGGGTGCCAGACGTTCAACAGTGCTGTGCAGGCTATACCTGCAATCAGTCCTGCAGTATGGAGGCCATTGATATTGAGATTGATGTCCTCCAGAAGAACACATTCTAGCTGTTTGCTGCATCTGCCTTCCATCCGCAGGTTCGCCCTTCATCTACCCGATCTACGGCTTGGGTGGTTTGCCCGAGGGTAGGGCTCCCAGACGCGTTGACACCCCTTCCTTAGAGCAGTGTTTGCCATGAGGCTTCTCTCGACTGGCAGCCATTCACAGGGGAACTTACATGTGACTGGGCAGCGGTTGGCAATTCTTTCTGTCTGCTGTACGACGTCTCATGCTCGATGAATGATCAGCCCTTTAAGATCCTTTAAACTTTAAAACCGATAAAGTGTTTGAGGTTGAACAAGTCTGTTGATGGATTTGTCTATGACGAACAGGGCCGCGTGCCGGCCCTAGTTGGACTAACGACAAGTGAACCCAAAACGCACCCAAAAAGACATGAAGGACCGGACTCTGACAAAGGATTGCAGTTCTGAGACTTCAGTCTTTCAGGTGTGTGGTGTCCGGTCAGGGGATGAGGTCGCAAAGCTGCACACTCAGTCGGTAACTTTCGGTCAAGCACTTTACACTGTTCCGGTTCGCAGGCAAACAATCATATTATGATATTATGCTCTTGTGATGACAAGAATCGGAACACAGTTCATTTTTGAATCCAGCTCAACATGTGTCTCTCTCTTTCTCAACATGTCTCTCAGTGTTCCTTCTTTCACCACTTGAAGGATGCTAAGTCAAGCAAAGCATGAACCTTTGAGGAGGCCCGAAGAATATTTGAGCATGGCTGATTGTGCAGCATCCTAAGGTGCAAAATGGTGATTTGCGATCCTTCCTATGCCGAGCCGACCAGGAAAACCACATGTTTTGTTCATCATCGTTACTAGTAACAAGTGCATTACTACAAGTAACAAGAAGCTACTAGGGGCTCCTGGCCTTACTACTAGGAGCAAGGAAGCTATTAAGGGCTCCTGGCATCGCTACTAGTAGCATTCTTACTCGTAACAAGAAGCTACTAGGTTGGAGGCCATCGCTAGTAGCAAGAAGCTACAAATAACAAGTGCATTGGCGCTGGTCTCAGGACCGAGGTTAGGGGCCAGGTGATCCGTGCCATTTGTCTGGATCCCAGGTCGTATGCGGTCTCAGTCAATGATATCAAGAGATGGCAACCTACGAGTTTTGAAGAGAAAGGGATACACAAGAACTAAACTTATATATCTATATAACAATCTACAGTAGATCCCTGATCAAAATCTAAAGAAGCCGTAGGCATTCTTGGTGCTCCCATCCCGGAGACGAAGAACCAGGCAAGAGCCGCTCGTGACAATAGGTCCACTGGTGGGGTTTTCGTCTCCAGGAGGGCAAGCCTGCCCTGTCATGCCAAATCATCTTGCCTCAAAAGCAGCTACTTGGCACACTCAGAGAATTGTCTGAAGACTTGTAGTTACTCCAGGAGGGGGAGGTCCTGAAAGGGAGAAACCTTTGAATCCTTTGCCGCTTTTGTCTTAGGTTAAAGCGAAAGAACGATGTTTATGTCATGCTGGCATCCCAGAAGCCTCTTTTTGATGATTTCAATGTCCAAGTAATAGCCAAGTCGCGTATGGTGATTTGGAGGATGGTTTCGTGGGCGCACTCCATTGCTGCAAAGGAGAGCGCATTCTGAGGAAGTGTTGTGAGGTCGTCGTCTTCCAAGCAGTAGGTAAGATAGTCAGCATACAGTCACAAACCTTGGATCGGGGAAGAGAGCCCCTCTAGATCCCTCTAGGACAAATATGTCGCCATCGTCAGCACTGTTGTAGAGACTCCAAGCCTATCCAGCCTGTTTGTTGAGCAATGTATTTCCCAAGGATTTGCCTGGTGTTTGTTGCACATGTATTGTGAATATGATATGTGTTGTTCAACGCCGCCGCCCTCCAAACCATGGACAAAATTTGCTCGTTCTCTTCATGTGCAAAAGTTTGGATTGTCTTAAGATCTGAGACATCTTGCAACATGTGCCAGATCCAGAGAAAGAGATTGAGCCTGCTCTGAAGCTGTTGGGCCCCATCCAGTACAAGCTTGGCTCTCGGCGGGCAAATCCAACAGGACTTATTGCATAAAGAAGATTAACAGGCCATGGCTCATTTGCAGAGATTAGACGCATCCCACCTAGGTTTGTGCAGATCAGTGAAATTCGGGATCCAGTCACTGACGGCGCCGCTGCTTCTGGGCTGAGAAGAGGGGCTTTCTATGCTCCGAATTCAAGTTCTTTCAGTAGATGCGATTGCATTCATAGAATCTTCCCTTGTTCAACTTAGGACGGTGTTTTCGTGACAGCCAGCTATGATCCATCCTCCCACTTTGAAGATGCCTCCACCGAAGTGCTTGCTTTGTACCGACCTTGGGTGAGAAAGCATCAGGTGCATTAGGATTTCCCTGAAGTGCCCAATTTGGTGCCAGGTGGAAAAAGATCACTGGAGAGAGCTTGGATTTGACCGTGTTGCCTGAGGATGAGGACCCTTAGTTCTTTCACAAGCGTGTCACTCAAAGCAATCTCCATTGATTCTATTCGAAGGATCAATGACTGGCCTGAGTCCAATCTTGGTGGTTGCCCAGACTTGCCCGGTACGAGCTGAAGCCGATTAACGTCACGCAATTTCGACGTTTCAAAAAAATCATTGCTTCCTTTTGCTCACAGTGCCACAGCTTATACCGAGCTCTTTTCCATGGGCTCGGCACGGAGAAGATGCTCCCTGCAGCCCAAGGTTGGTTGAGTCTGAGGCACAAGACACACTCTCATGATCAATCTCTGAAGGTTTCAGTTGGGTCAGGAAGTTTGCCGACCGGTTGGAACGTGCAGGAAACCGAGAGGTGCAGCCGAATGAGAACAAAAGAATGGAACGCAGAGAATTCCCAACTCGTTCTGCAGAGAGAATTCTCAACCTCTCTCAACTCCGCAGATGGCGCATTCGCCGGCATTTGGCTGCACTGCACACAGCCCTGCCAGCTTAAATTGTATCATTGCTCTTAGGTTGAAGGCCATCGCTAGAGGCCATTGCTATTACTGTAGGTTGAAGTTGGAGGCCAATGCTATCGGGCGACATTGAACCATTGAACCATGAGCGAGTCAGATGGGTCGGCATGCGACAAATCCTTGTGCTTGCACAGCATACTATTTGCACCAAACCATTTCCAGCCACTCCAATTTCCAGCAGAGACTAGCCTACGACCATGATCCTAGCTTTGCCAGAAGACTCCTTCCACATGTGCGGTTGAGGGTTCTTGTGCAAAGACAGCAAATTCCAATGAAATGTCGAATGGTGTCGAGCGACAGTGGGGAATCGGCGCAAGCTTCTGCCAAAACCTAAGAGCACGCTGGAAGAAGGCAGACGTGGACTGATTTTTCAATCTTCATTGTTTGATGCCCAAGGTCCAAAGCAGCTGGCACTCAGAAGTTGCACGTTGTACTCCCACGCTTGGGATCATTTGGGTGCTTCAATGGTGCTGACAATCGGGTGCTTTGCTTGTGCAAGGCACTAGTGCATCGGCAAGGAGCGAGGCTGCGTAACAGTCAACTCTCTTCTCGCAGTTGCTTGATTTGCTTGATTTGCTTTTCACTCTGCCTCTCGGTTCCTCTCCCTTAGAGAGAAAAGCTCTAGGCAGTTCCGAAGATCAAAGCCTTACAATCTTCGCCTTGGTCCCAATGACACAGGTCCTCAACTATAATACTGCAACCAACTTTGGAGACCTTTTTTATGTCTTAGAGTTCCAAGGGAAGTTGCAGCTCCGATCATGGTCACACCACGAAGCACATCGCCGACGGCTACAGCCTTGGTTCGAGCTTGCAGTTCGTTTTTGGGTCATTTTACGGTTTGTGAACTCCTTAGGTCGCTTGGTGCCATGCCGGTACAGCCCCTCTAACACAGCCCAAGGTGTGAGCCTTGGATGGTGGAGAAGTATTGCAAGTTCTTAACTCCTGGGCCGAAATTAGAACAACTTGACTGAATTCCTTTTAAGGGCACTGAGTGGAGGAGACTTGCAATTTGCGCTGCCTACGTGGTCAGGCTGCGCAAGTCACTCCAGGAAGCGAGCCTTGCAGATACCGGTGGCCCACTCAAGTAGCTCATGTGAAAGTGCCGGCAAGCACAGATGATCTCTTGGGGCAGTGTTTTGTTTTTAGCTGCGTCTCACAACAGAGTGTTGGTTGCTGGCAGAGAAGGACTTTCCTTCACCGTTCCCAAGGGAAGTTGCAGCTCCCATCATTGCTACACCGCGAAGTACAACTCCAACGGCCTGCACCTCAAAGTCTATGTTGTGAATGACACGCTGTTGCAGTGTATCACAGTATATCAGTATATCATATCAAACTCAAGACTCAAGGTGACTTGGTGCAACGCAGCAGTCTCATCATCGTTCCCCAACGCCGGGCTAGTGTTTTGCATTCAAGCAAACATGATCGTAACATAACTTAGAATTGTCAGGCGACCCCAGCCACCCCGGGCAGCGAGCCTTGCAGACACAGGCCTAGTCATATTCGGATATTCCATCTTGGTTTGATTTTTTTGAATTGCAGCAACTTCAGAAATGCGTCCGGAGGGAAGTTG